TGCATTTGTCTGCATTTGTTTGTGTTATAAAAAGTAATATTTGATATTTACTAAATAAGAGTAATAAGTATACAGTAAAATAGTAATGATTTTGATACAATAGGATAAATTGATTAGAACTGATTATATGTTATTAATCGATACTATTCAGTATTTTTAATTTGATATATATCGATTTATATCGATTACTATTTAAATCGATAGTCCTTGATAGTAGGAATTTAAAATGATTACTATCAAATAACTAATTAAAATCGATAGTAATCTCCTTGCAAATTTTGGTGATACCTTTTCTAGCACCTAGTCTATATTTATATTTGTTTAGATTACTATTTTTAAAAATAAATATTTTTCATAATAAGAACCTATATAAACTCTTTTAAATTTTAAAATATTTTAAATTTTCTAAATAGTTCTAATTTTCTAATTATAACTTATGCTGAAAAAAATTTATAATTAGAAAATTAGAAATATTTAGAAAATTTATAAATATTCTAGAATTTAAAAAAGGTTTATAGATTCTTATTACAAAAAATACTTATTTTTAAAAATAATTATTTAAACAAAATCTGAATATTATTTTTAATTTTTTTTTATAGAGAAGAAATCTAAATTCACAAATATTTATATTCTATACAGATAGCTTAGTAGCAAAAATAGATATTACTACCTGCTTCATAGAAGTAGGCTAGATACAAGTATATAATAACCAAATTATTCACAAATTTATAGCCAAAATTTTAAACTAGCTATCTTCATATAAAGCAAAACTTATAACTATTCTATCAGCTATATTTATACTACTTTACAACTCCAAAGTTAATATATTTATAGGCTTACAATTTGTTATTTGCAAATATACTAAACTATTAAATATATCAATAAATTCTTAAAATATTTCAAAGTTAAATACTGGCTAATTTGGTACTTACTTCTCAATACTACTAAGTTTTTTAATATACAATTTACTTTTTTAAAATCCAAGCATACTCAAACAACCCATTTGATAATGCTGCAGACCTATTAGCCAAAAATTATCAACAATCTCAAGTATATACTTTTTAGTTCAATCATACTAATATATATAATTCATACTCTATTATTTAATAGAAATAGCATTATATTGAAAAACCTACCAGACAATTCGTCAAGAGTATCTGCAGAGCTAAAACTATTGCATTATAATCTTCACAAAAACACAATACAGAATAAAAAGAATACACTTATGAAATTAACTAAAACTCAATATAGTGCTATTTTAATAATAATTAAAAAAGTTATATCCAGTATTACATTCTCTAAGCTAAATTAAATAAAGGTATTTAGAATTAAGAATATGCTACCATATTGTCATGAAATAATATATAGGGGTGAAATTACAAATTTCAGCCTAAATTAAGCTTAATTTAGACCAAATCTCTAAATAATGCCTATGCCCATTATTTTGCAACAATATAGTAAGTAATTTGTCTATATATTCACATTTTTATTATATAATATCTAGAAAATACCAAGTTCCAATTAGCTTCTCATATAGCACCCCTAACTTACCTACACACTAGCTTACATGCTCTAGCCCTCAAGTACTCAACAATATTATACACACTTCTATTGCAAAGATAGTATACAAAAAACTAGCAAACTTAACTTTAATACAACAAAAGCAATTATAAACCTCATCAAGTCACACTCTTTATTTAATTACCCTCTCTTGTCATCCACACAAGCACACTCTTTATTAATAACCTTAAAAGGTTTTATCTTAGCTAATCTAATATAAACCATGCTAGTAGGAGATTTACAATACAAAGAGGTAGCCAACACTCTTATATCTATATTATTAAATATCTCTAATAAGATCTATAAGCAAGTTTGGAAACCCTATTGTGAAAAATTTGGAAATTGAAAGAAACTTAACAAAATCTTAGTGCAAAACTGAATAACATCTATACAAACACAGCTTCATCATAGAGCTCATCAACAATGTAAAAAATTTAACATACAACTATTTGTGTGAACTACCAGACCAACTTCATACTAATGATGATACAATAAATGCCTACTGAAAGAACAAGCACAATAGAAATTTAACCAATGGTCCACTGTATGAATCCAATATAGCTTACCCACAAATTATATATTAACTATAAAATCTAGGTGAGTCTTGACTACTCTAGTAGGTTTAGGTTACAGATAATTAGTCTGAACTTTCATTCTTGCATGTAATTTATATTATTTGTCTTGTACAAATTGTAAAAACAAAAAAACTTATTAAAACTACCTGCTAAAATACTTTAAAAACTCAAAACTCGCTTTTATTATTATAATTTAAAGTATGACGAAAATTGAAAGGCTTATCGTTATCAGATAAAAATGCGACAAACAAATGAATATCATGTTACCTTAGTGACAATAGAATTCTTAATGAACGAATACAAGGACCTAACCTTAATTTAGAAATTACTGGTTAAACTAATCCGACCACCTAATTCTTAACCATAGCCATCATTGGCATAAGACCGATTGCGTTTCCCATAGATTTATCTTTGTTCTCATAGCCGCCTTTATCGAGTTAGTGATTGCTGTTTATGGAAAGTCATTCAAATCATACTCACCTCCTTTGATCATCTGGACCGGACTTGTTCTGGTTGATGGTTCCGATCTGTTGACTTTAACGTACGTCAACTCGAATGATAGTGCGATATAATAACGGACAACCTACGGGCAGTTAAATTCGCAGGAGTAATCAGTTAGGGAAAGGTAGTGATTTAGTAATATCATGTGCATTTGCACTGCAAAAATTGTACAAAATTACATGTCATATAATATGATAATACATGCCATTAGTTGACGTTATCTGTTTTGTAGCGGCATGCTGAAAATATAAAAAATCGGCATGCTGTAATGCCGTAGATCATCTCGATTCTAGAAACCCATTGTATAGCGGAATTGGCAGATATGATGTGATTCAATTCATGAAATCAACCAATCATGAGAAAGTTATCCTATGTGTCTGATCCAATGTTCATTGCGTTTGATCAGACAATGGACATATTTCTCTAAAACCTATCTCAGTATGGAATAAATATGGAAATAGTACGAGATGAGGATAAGGTAATTTAATATTATGCGTATAAGTCCTTAGGGATTCACAGTTAGCTCAACGACGATGTAAACTGTACATTGATACTTCTCAATAGTGGTTACGTGTGTGATAGACTACGAAAGCATGATTAAGATAAAGAATAGATAGGAAAAAAAAATAGTAAATAAGTATAACAAGATGAGCAAAGAGAATAAGAAACATGCCTTATGACACTATTAAAAACGAAGAAATTTTACATGTAGTTATCTAATTTTCTGATGGTGAGCCAATTTTAATTTTTTAAAATCTTTATATTAGGTTTCCTTTTTTGATTCTGATAAATTAGTAAATTCGATAAATCATATTAATGTTGTACTTCATATTGAAATTTGCGTTAAATAAAAATTTAATACTAAGTTTCATTAAGGTCAGGGTGAAACTATGTTAGGGTAAGGGTAAGAATTAATGGCATGATTATAAATTTGACGTACAACATTAATATGAAGGTCAGGCTAATTAAAAATATGTGTTGAAAAGTTAAATGGCATTTAAAAATTATTTATATTCGCATACATATTTTTTTAGGAATTAAATTTCAGAGATGAATCCCCTTCGAACACTATTTTTTTCATTAATATTCATCAGTTTAGCACTCATAGATGTGAAATGTTTTGGCCCTGATGGTCTAGTTGGACAAGCTAGTGTATTAGTTGGGACAAATCTCTACTTTTTTGGAGGTAATAGTAAAAATCCGGGGTATTCTAATCAAGTATTTTATCTTAATTTATCAAGTTCGTTTAATACACTCTCACCTCCATGGAGTCAAATTACTGCTTCACCAATTCCAATTCCACTTTTTTCTGCTACTCCATGTCTCTCTACTGATAAATCCACAGTTTACTTAGTTGGTGGAATGTCACTGAACCAGCAAAATTTATCATTACCTTCCTCATCTGTATATGCATTTAATTTCAATACTTTACAATGGACAACCCCAAATATTGATAATTTTAACAGTACATTTTTAGGACGTGAATCTGTACCGGGCGTTGCTGATAGTAATGGAAAATATTATTTCTTTGGAGGTTATTTAACAAACCTAACGACGACAAGCCTTCCTATTTTTTATAATGATACAAATATATTTGACACAAAAACAATGAGATGGTTAACATTAACTTTGCCTAATAGCCCACTTACTCGCATACTTTATGGTGTTGTGCTGAAAGACAATCTCATATATTACATTGGTGGTGTTGGTGTTAGTACTTTTAGTGTGAATGAGGTATTTGTAGTTTAAATCAATTAAAAATTTTCAAATTTATATCTTGTACAATAACTAATTGAATTAATCAAATAGATTCCAGTATTTGATACAGCAAATTCAATTTGGTTATCTATGGTACGCTCACATGATGATATAATAATTATGTACGAACTTAAAAGATTATAATGATAGTTTTTCTGTTCTAGACGACTCGTGGCGATCAAATTGGATCTCGTAGTGGACATTCAGCTGTCTTAAGTACATAACTTAACTGTTTATGATATTTATTATTATTATTATTATTTATATATATAACATTTTAAATAGCTCGAGATGGACTTATTCTTATTTATGGTGGAATGGGACCCACTAAAACTCAAGTACAACCTGATGTTGCTACATTAGATGTAAGCATTACACCGTATACATGGAAGGCTATTATTACAGATAAGGCACCACAACCACTTATGCTTCATTCAGCAACAATGTATGGAATATATATGATTATTGCATTTGGTAATTATAACACTTTAAATTAAATTTAAACTATCTCGTTTCAAATTATAATAAAAAATTTTGTGAACTACAATTCAGCAATATTTTAAACTGCTATAATCTGCTTGTAATATTAACCTTTTAATAAAGTCTCTAATTTAATTATTTATTTTACTTTGTGTTTAGGCGCAATTGTTCCTTCTCAACCACAACCATCTCAATCCGATTTGGCATTAAATAATAATTTATATATCTTTAATACACAAAATTATACATGGGTTAATACTTTTGATGCGTCAAATATATATGGGTCTGATGAAAAAAACTCTAATTCGTTTTCATTAGGTGCAATAATTGGTACTATTATAGGCGTAGTTATTGCCGTTGGTATCGTGACAGTTGTAGGATTTTTCCTTTATAAAAAATTTCTTAATCGCAAAGGTATCGCTATTGCAACCCCTGGAACATTACCATATAAATAGTTTATTATGTTCATATTTTTTCTTTTATACATGTGACAGATGTACTGTATTTCTTATGGAATTTAATACCTTGTTTGAGATAAAATAAACTCGAGTTGGCAAACTTAATTCGTTCGACACGCCAATTAGATATAACTTACATATATACGTGCAGTAAAACCTCGAATAACGAACCTCAATATAACCAACACTAATTGTATAACGAAGGTTATTTCTAATTTTTATGTTTAAATTAGCCCAATATAACGAAACTACTAACAAAGTTTTAATTTAACGAAGCAAAACCTCAAACTCCAGAGCTTCGTTATATCGAAGTTATACTGTATATAACCACCAACTTCTTATTCTAAATGCAAACCCTAACATTAATGAACTTAAAGAATTTTAGCTGCGTCATATTCTGTTACTCGAATATAAAAAAAATAACAATCAAATATGTATATGTTAGTAACTCTAATAGCATACAGTATAATATAAAAATTTGGATCAGCCTGAATCTAAAATTGGCAATAAGGGTGTTGACATTTATTACGTAATTCAGTAATATTTTAAGGGGTGGGTTATATCAATATTTTACAGTCGTGACATATATTACGTAATATCCATTTATTTTGAGGGCCTCCCATATTAGATCCAATATTACGTGTTGCCAATTTGGAGTATTTAGTTATACTAATTATCTTTGTGTGCTCTAAGCGAGAAAACTTAGTATAGAAATATAAGTAAGAACCGGAGTATAAAAATATTTTCTATTTACCGTCCGACGAATACTAATAAGTTATTGCATGCGAAGCATGCAATAAGTGGAGTATTTTATGGATGATCTTGATTGATCAATGGTCCGTCCGGTACGGCCGGATTTTTGGACAATTAGGATCAAACATAAAATACGACAAGTATCAGAAGTTTAAAATCTTAATGT